GTTGAAGATTATTAAACTTAATATGTTTGTTTAAATTCAACACAAATATAGTGTTTGCAACAATTCTGCATGCAACACTTTTTCAGATAGGCTGCTACTATTCTTATTCTTAAACATATGGTAAAACAAAAATTTTAATAATATAAGGCCTATGTGTGGGTCTATTGTTGCTTAAAATACTACATTTTTGTATAGACTAGGAATGGTGGACTTCAACAGACTTTAATTATGTCCTGGTTTTTAATTCATAATAAGGTGATGACATCAGAAAACAACTATTCATAATTCTAAAGTTGAATATTTATTTCTGAGACTTGCTTGCAATCGGTCATTGACAACATTTAGACCATTTTTTTTTCACTGGTAAAATGAGACATTTGTCATTATCAGATTACCTCATTAATTATATTCAATATTATATAGGCTAGAAAAGTTATACTGACTCGGTAAACATTTATTTTCATGCACAACACTTTGTGTTTGCAATGAAAGAAAAAAACATATCAAATACTTGTCATAATCATAACTCTATAATGCAATATGATCATTTAAATGATGTGCGAGCTTTCGTTTCACTTTTTACTGTTGAGTGCTGCTTTTGTCATGGCTGCCACACCTTTGGGTTCAGTTTGCAACAAATTGAACTTTATTTGCAACTTCATTACCTGTTATTCACAGCCTATGCATGTTCTGTTCACTAAAGTAAACATCATTGGCTGGCAAGCACATGCGGGTCCTCTCTGTAGTAAACAAGCCGCGCGTGAGGATTTTGCAGATGCATCATTACATTAACACAGAAAATACAGTTTTGGGTAAATTATACAGTATGTGACACTTTTAACACCATTCGGAGGTGTCCATGTTGCTGAGCATTGTTTAAAAACAATGTGAAGACTTGTGCATCTGCCTTTACGCTTCTTTACTGACCTTGAAAATATCATTGGCTGAATCAAGGTCATGTGTAGAAAAGCTGAATTAAGGTCATGTGTAGGGTCGAATCGAGATTGCGATCTTTTTTAGATTAACTGTGCAGCCCTAATAAGTATCTTTTTGTTTGTGTACAGTATATATGCTGTGAGTTACAGTTCCTTCACAATATTATATTTTGTATTGGATATCATAAGTATATTACAGAAAAATCTCCAAAAACATCTGAGCAATGTGTAAACTGTTTTTGTTAACAAACAACACTTATAATATACTAATATTAAACTGTCCTATCCCAAAAAAGGTGAAAACCCCTAAAGCATAATTATTACAAAAATGTTTTGAAACATAAAAGATGTGCTCTAGCATTCAGAAACAACTAAAAGCCCAAAACAATTAAGCAAAATGTAAAGTCTCAAGAGATTTGTCAAGCATTAAACTACTTTTAGTTTTTATGTAGCTTATTTTCAAGTCACCTTTTACAAAACGTAATGCAACTCTCAGTATCAGCACAATGTATCTGTAAAGTTTCCACTCAAAATCCTCCGCTGGTCATCCATTATGCAGCGCATTCTCCACTTCTAATCTAACTCTAAATGTGCCAGTATTGGCATCTTCAGAAACAAATAGTGCAAAAACAACTTAAAGCACTATAATGCAGCTCTACATAGCATTTAGCATTTTTTTTATTTACTTAGAAAATAAAAAGAGAAAATATATGCTGCAAAAAAAGCCAGGAACAGACTAAGAATTAAATAAACAGCAGAGAACATGTCTTTTTTGAACATCCCCTCCCTCCAATTCATGCAAGGATGTCATGACTTTGCTTGTGTTTATGCCTGAAAACTAAAGAGAATATGAAAAATAGTAGTACTTGAAGTAGTTAATCCGGACAAATGTCCAAATACAACATAAAACCGGGCATAAATCTTGGAAAAAATCCTCACAAAATGACAAGACATGCTAACTTGGCTAAAACATTTGGCTATAACTCTTTCTGGGTCACACCAGCACGCCGTAAAACCTAAGAGTATCATGTGTCAGTTTGGATATACACGTAATAAAACAAAAACACAGAACACAGCAAATAAACGGCAGGTTAATTTCACTGTCAATATTAATTCACCTTGTTAAAATACAAAATAACTAAACCAAAAAATACACAAATATACCTCTAGTTGTAGATGTCTGGGTCCATAAAAATACCCATCATGAAGAGTTTAATCTCTTCTAAGGCTCGTGACAGAGGTGAAGACAGATACTCCAGGACTGTTTCAAAACAAAAGCCAAGCGTTGATAGCCGTAGACGAATAACCCGGAGGAAGGCTTCAGGGGCCAGGAGGTCTCAGCCTAAAATAAGATCCACATGCTGACCACCCCGGGGGAGCCGAGCTGGGAAAAGCAGCTTCCTCACAAATCGTAGCACAACAGGAAGTTGAGCTAATTCCCGGAAGTACAGTGATAGAGGAGAGTGAGAGACACACGAAAGGAAAGAAAAGAGCCAAAATGGTTTGGGTTTCAGTTGGTGCACAGGAAGCGACGTGTCTGGGTTTGTCAGGAGGAGTGGCTGCTGGAGCGAAAGGAGGCCTTCAAGAATCTCTCTGGAAACGAGAGCTGACATGCCCGAACAGCTGGGAAACAAGACAATGGAACGGAGTGAGAGAAGACTCACTGCAGACTGAGCCCTTCTGAAGGTTTCCACAGTTCATCTGATCCTTGAGCACTGAGGCAAGGATACAAGAATGACACATCAATGATGTCATCATTGCGTAGAAGTGGGGCTGCGTTTTAGAGGAATTGAAGGGATTAAGGAGCTTATCGTAATTAAAAGTGGATGTCAGATGCAATTCTCTGAGACTAAATGAGTAGCATTGGGGGAAAAAAACTATTTTAATGAAGAAGGAACTACATTAACACGTAGGATTGCAGAATCACATTGTTCAGCAACAAAATGAATCTACTGATTGCTGACAAGTATATTTATTGTGAGGGGGAAAAAAATAGTGTATTTTGGCTTAATATCTTTACTGGATAGGGATGCTCCAATCTATCAGCATCAACTGATAATCACATGTAATGACTCGATCGATGCTCATCAATCTGGCCGATGCCATGAACCGATTACAAGTGTTTGTTTAGGAGTTTACAAGCAGAGGAAGATGCACGTGCACTCCTGTATATTGTACATAACCTTAGTGCTGTGCCATTAATCAAAAATCCGATTTCGATTATGGCTTCTAACGATTATGAAAAACCATATCGAGATAAACGATTATTGCATCATATACCAAAAGCGCGAAAGACCGCATGCTTAGGTGTGTGTGCAACACGCGCACACACACATAAGCACGTGGTCAGCATTCGGTCTCATTCGCACACTGAGACGAGCAGAGGAGCGCAGACATCTAAAGTAATCTTAACGTGAGCGCTTTAATGGTCAAATAGGTGTCAAAACGCGGTGTTTAGTGATTATTCATATTAACCCTCATTTGTGTAATAAACGAGTTGAGAATCAAAAGACACGTGAAAGAGAAACCATTAAAATGACAGTGCGAAAATATTCCTGCCTCCACCTGTTTTTACGATTAATCAAACAACGAGAAAATCCCTTCACTTGACTGAAGGATTTGAAGTCAGAATTATTAGCCCTACTGAATATTAGCAACCCTTTTCCTGCCCAATTTCTGTTTAATGGAAAGAAGTTTTTTTTTTTTTTTTACTTATTTCTGAATATAATAGTTTTAATATATCATGTCTAATTACTGATTTCTTTTATCTTTGCTATGATAAAAGTACATAATATTTTACTAGATGTTTTTAAAAATACAAGCATTCAGATTAAAGTGCAATTTAAAGGCTTAATAAGGGTAATTAGGCAAGTCATTGTATAACAGTAGTTTCTTCTGCAGACAACCAAAAAATATATTGCTTAAGGGGGCTAATAATATTGACCTTAAAATGGGTTTCAAAATATTTAAACCTGCTTTTATTCTAGCTAAAATAAAACAAATAAGCCTTTCTCCAGAAGAACAAAAATATTTTACTGACGCTGTGACATGTTACCTGATAAATTCAAGATCGAAGAGTCGATAGATAGAGACAAGATTAATAAAATATCACGTTTAACAACTATAGTGAGAATCGATCCAGTAGTAAATTCTTAATAAACTGTCCAATGTGCACTGCTCTCTGGGGTTTTGTGCTCAAAGCACCCACTGACTGCTGGAGCTCAGATGTGCACATATGTTGGAGTGCACGACAGTGCGTGTGTGTGTGGTCACGTGATGTGTGTTTTTAGCGGTACAGTGTGGAAGGAGGGCTTCTCAGAAATGCTACGTGAAACACCAGTGTGGAAGTGGAACACTACAGGAAACTAACTACAGCAAAGCATTCATTTTAGTTAACATTAATTTTTAACATGAACAATTACCACATTGGATTTTAATAAAGTATTTATTAAAACATCAGTTTGCTAGTGAATCTTGTCATAAAGTTTTGCCAACATTTTAAATTAAACTAATTGTATACTTGTTAATAATTTTCTAATTATTAATAATAAAAGCTCAAACAACATTAACCTACATGGCAGGGTATCTGCACATTTTATAACAGCAAATTTAATACTTTTTAAGACCTTTTTAAGTCCTCTAAATGGAAAATTTAAGACTTTACCTCAAAAAAAAAAATATTTAAAGAACAGGAAAATGTTTAGTGTGACAACACAGAATGATGTGGTGAAGCATTAGCGTGGCACAACTCACCAGAGCCACACTCAAGACAGGTCAAAGGGATGCAAAAACTTTTATACCAAGTGCTGATTGACCTTACAACCCTGACATGGTTGACTTTGTATAAACTATCAGCCTTTAAGGTACTTCAGGTAATTTCTAAATTCAGGCCCCTCATAGCAGTTTGAAAAAGACATGGAAGACAGCCCCAGGACATTACAAAAGCCCACAAATACACAAAAGTTAAAGTAATCGTCATACTTGATGTAAATCATGGGTAAAAGTGGCTGCACATTCAATAATCTATGCATATACCTAATGAATGAAGATCCAGTCAGACAATTGTAGGAAAGATCAGGATCAGAAATTTATTTAAAGGTGCTTTGTTCAGCTACTACTTTCAGTGCTGTGATGACATCAAACTTCCAATATGGTCAACAATGGGATTAATGCCAATCTGGCAATCCAAAGATATACATGTATAACAGTATACAAACAGAATAGCATGAAAACAGTCATGCTTAGAGAAATAAAGAAACAGCATAGAGAAACGGCTTCGGACTTCCCTATAAAGCCACAGTGCTGATCAAAAAAAAGGAACTGATTTTCTAGGCCCAGACAGTAACATTCAGCAAATAATCCAAATAAATTACGAAAGGTACATGTAAACCTTCAACTTTTAAGTTCTCAAACTCAAACCCCTCATGACAGTTTTGTCAATTCTACAATCTTGTTTTCAATTTCTGCATCCAACTCAATTAGTTCTTTATGTTTATCTTTAGCTCGTCTCCTCAAAGAATTGGATTCTGTGATCAATGTGGCCATTTTACTACCACCTGAACTTTCCGCTTGCTCTGCCATTCTATCTGCATCATTCTCCAAAGATATGCAAATTTCTCTAATTGAATTTTTCTTTTTCTTTAGCTCTTTCAGGTCTTCTTCGACATATTTTCTTTTCTTGGAGTTTTCTTCTGTCTCTCTCTTCTTTTTTTCCTCTTCCAAGTGTGCCCGGTAACGGCTCCGTGCTGATGCACAGTAACTGATTAGCTCTTTTGTAAGAGGCACTTTTGTCACCCCCCCACAAACTTTCACTTGATCGCAGATGAGCCTTTGAATAACAACTGTCTCCTCAGACATGTTGCATGTCTCCACTTCTTTGTTGATGGAGAAGCCCCGCTCCACTTCAGCTTGTCCATGTGAGAGGAGTAGTAACTTCTTGCAGAAGTTCCACAGATCAGTGTAGGAACTGAGATTCTGAGAGAGGAATGTATCAACCCTGGACACTGAGGGCCGGAAGTTTGAAAATTCCAGCGATTTGGCCTCATTGGAAAGGGCCTTCTCAAACTGTTGAGAAATCACGTCACCTGTAATAATGCACAAAGGACAGCCAGTGTGAATAAAAAATTTGCATCACAACATAAAAGGCAAAGTTGCGTTCTTTTAAAGAGACCAATCCACACTGATTCCATAAATTTTCAGTTAATCCCTTTTATGAGTTATATTTTTTTACAAAGAAAAATGCCTGGGTTCTGTAGCTTATTAGTTTGCACTCAAGTCATGCCAACCTGCCCTATTAAAAAAAACACACACACAAAAACAAAACAAAAAAAACAAGTGTAGTTTTTTTTTTTTTTTTTGTAGAATGGCCTGTTTAAATAGTAGACTACAAAACTACATAAAGTCAGTGAATAGTATCAATGATGAACACAGAAATGGGAACACCTGTTGAATTTTATGTTACAGGTAATGTTATAGGTATTGGTCTTGACTAATACAAATGGGAGGAAGTGTGTAAACTGAGTGCCATTCTTTTCTTATTCCTATAATTTACCAGAAGATATCCCGCCTGTCAACTGTTTGTCCAGCACAAACTTCTCAATGAGGCGTTTCAGTTTCTGTAGGCATTCGTCAGGGCTGGAATACATTTTTCTTGGGTCCAGGCACATCATGTTATGGACAGTGGCATATTTTAGAGGGCACTTATCCAGTGCTTTCTTGCATATTTTTGAAAGCGCATTCTGGCATTCTTTTTTAAACTGCAGCACGCCAAGCTCGCTTACCCTGCCCTTGGCCCCTGACAGTCCCTGACAGAAAAAAAAAAACATTGGTTTGTCAAATCTACATTTCTGTCCCTCTACATAGTCTGCAATAATTAAGAATAATACACTGAGATTAATGGCTCCCCTTTTCAGAACATGCCTCTCTCCACACGCACACACACATGCACACACAGACACACACACTGAGTCAATGTTGATATCTAGATGTCATTGTGAACTACTTTTATGAAACTGAATTACACCCACCTTGATAACAGATGCTGCACCCATGCCAATGTCAACATGTTTAGTGCTAAGCCAAAGCTTCTGGTCTGTGACATCGAGCCTTACCAGCTTATATGGACTCGAGGGCAAAGCATCGCGCTTGATGAATCGTTTGAGAAGGCTCTAGTGAAATAAAAAATATGCATATTTGAGTTAGATCAGAGAATTTCTGTGTACTAAAGGAGTGCATTATGACAAATATTTACCCTTATCAAATCCTCCAAGTCATTCCACAGAAAGGGCATCATGGGAGCATCTTTTTGATATTTTTCCAGAAATGGTTGAAAGACTCTTGCAATGAACACAAAGAAGTGGAGTTTGGCACAGATAAGAGGATCCTTTCTTGCCTCAGAGAGGGTGTCGAACGATGCATTTCTTGGGTTCTTCACCTTCTTTGTTGACACTTGGTCAACAAATTTCTCAATAGAGGGCCAAATTTCAATGGCCCTCTCTGCAGCAGGCACATTTTCGAGCCAACGATGGCCACAGAAGGATAAGGGGAATGTGGATGACAGTGTTGCAGATGTGAAATCCTCTCTTCTTGCTGGGGCATTATTGAAGAGATAGTGGAGTGATCTCAGCACCTTTTCTACATGCCACTCTTCAAATCCACCTTTAAATGAATTGTGTAGGGTGTGGATACCACAGCTTCCTACCACTTGGAGTTGAATCCCCCCAAACTGTTCCGCATGTTCCAGTTGTAGGAGATCCATGAATTTCCAATTTACTGTGGGTCCATCCATTGACACAGAAAGCATGTTCCTTAAATTAAGTTCCTTGGTGCCCTCCTGAAATTATAAAAAAAATAAAATCAAAACAAAATCCATCTCAAGAATGATGGTTTGTCTAAAGTAGTGATTCTCAAACTGCGGTCTGGGGACCACTGGTGGTATGCCAGATTACCAAAGAGGTCTGTGAGCAAAATTTATCAACAAAAATGACTGACATGGACTGACACTGTTAAACATTTCCAATTCACTTCTCATGACATGTTTTCTAATCATGCACATTATTAGCAGGTGAAGTTAGCCATGGTTTCAGAAGGCTAAAATGACCTGTATTTTTACATGCATAGGCATGATCATTAAGCCAAATGTGTCAAGATTTTTTTTTTTTATTGGCTAAATGGTCCTTGATTTAGAAAAAGTTTGAGAAACATATCTTAAGCCATAATAGTAAATGCTCGCAAAAATGGGCCTATGTGATATGATTTAGTGTCAAAATTGTTAACCTGAAATTGAGAAGCATAAAACATATATTTGAATTCTAATTATAAACTGGCCTACATTGTTTAATTCAATTAAATTTTACATTTCACATAAAAAATATGCAAGAAGCATAATGCATATTGAATGCTTTATACAATAAAGTTATTTACAGCACTGCCTTCCATCCAGATTGCAGTAGTCTGCCTAGATGTCACCCACAATATATTTTTAACTGATTGGCTGGGACAATATATCGATGCATTGTAAATCGAGAAATTATTCTGGATCAATTCCAATTTTTTCTGAATGCATCGCGATACTCTCTCTAATCAGCAGATGGCACTGCTTGCATTAGATGCCTTACATCACTTGAACATACTATAAAATAATAATTCATAAAGTTTGAAAAGGTTGAAGCGAAGTACAAGGGTGTTTGCAGTGGGCTGTTTACATTAGTCTTGCGTCATAAAAGCATTATATCAAGTACATTCTCAGACTCAGCCGAACATAAAAACACAAAACATTTTAACAAATTCAAAGCATTATAAATGTTACTTTGAAAGTCTTACCTTAAAATGCTCCAGCAAGTCTTCTGCCGTTGAGTGGCCCAAAAACTGAGAACCAAGATAGCGAGACCTGACAATTGGGGTGCCGGTCTCGTCAGTTGACCAATGTCTGACGTGCAAGTCCAACTGTTTAGATTTCGTTGCTGTGTTCATAGACTCATCAAACATTATGATGAAAGTGTCCTCGTTTGCCCGTGAAATTAATTCCTTCTTTAGGTATGGGGCAACACCAAATCGTGCTAAATATGCTGTTTTGTCCCGTCCACACGTAAACGTACTCGCACACTCTGAGTCAGGGAACATTGCTTGAAAAACTAAGTGGATGTCCTCATTTGAGGTGTACGAGTGGTGGCGGCTTACGGTTTGAAATACCCACAGTATTTCGGCCTTAAGTGTAGCTACATTCGCAAAGCTGCTGAAGGCATTGCTTGAAGTGGACGGGCTTGTGGAAGGCTGAGTGGTCGAAGTGCACGATGAGAACATAGTTATTATGGGCAAACTACTTGCCTGCGACGACACATACTTCTTGTGCTTCTCTGCTTTCATGTGTGAATCGAGCGCTATGTGGCCCATTGTCCCTAGTTTTATCGTCTTTTTACACAAAGCACACCTCCCTTCATGATTACTGGCTGTTTTTTTCAGCCACCCCCGATACTTTTCGTCCTCCAACCACTTGTCATCAAACAAACATTTGCCCATGCTTTCGATATAGCAAAATGCCGTGGTAGCGAACCATCAACGCAACACATCCATCAATCACTTACTCGTATGTCACCTATAGAATGATGCAGGTTGTACCCACGAAGTGCTGCCCCCAAATGTTGCGCTGGTCAAATTGCGGTTGAAAAAAAATAATAAAAATGACGAGTCGGACATGAAATTTAAGACCTCCTTATGGAAAATTACAGAATTCAAGACATTTTCAGACCTTAAAAAGCGAAAATTTTATTTAAGACTTTTTAAGACTTTTTAAGGACCCGCGGGGACCCTGCATGGTCTTCACAATGTGAACATTGTGATGTAAAACAAATTGAGAGCTAGTAGCAGTGTGCCGATTGTCTTTTGATCTTTTGTTACGGTGTTTATTTTTGATCGAGCACCTGTCTTTGAGATTATTAGATGTGCACACATTTCTGTTTCCTAATTATTAATAATAACATTCAAATAAGTTTAAAACCTATGAATAAACATTTAAATGTGTAATTACTGAAATGCTCTTCTAAACTTTGACTAAAGAAAAGGACCTCTAACTTATCTACAATTATTTATTTACAATTATATTATTTATTTTTAAATATTTTACCATTCATACAAGTCTATCAAACTGAAAAACATTTTAACCTCTTGTCCTATTATTATAAAAAAAGCTATTTAATTAAACTTAAGACACTGAAAGTCACTTTAATTTGAACTGATTCACTCCTGTCTCAATTCCTACTAATAATAATCCTACTAATAATATTGTAATAACTATAATCTATAAGCAATAATCTTTAATACATGACTAATTTTCAACCAAATTAATTGTTCTGTGATATTTAAATTGAACATGTTTTGAGATCAGATGAAAATACTGAGCATGTTTTAAGATCAGACATCTCTATATATATTGACTCTTCTGTATTCTCTAAAAATTACCACAGTGCAGAGGAAATTTTGTGAGTCACCCATGAGCAGAGTAATCCTTTTAAACACAGGATCGACAATGATTTCTCCAAGAAAACAACTTTAACATGAATATTTACAGCTTCCAACCAATTACTCTTACCCACCTCAACCGAGCTGACAGAAACAAACTGTATCTTTGAGACACGTGGTCTATGTGCGTGGGCTTTTTTCTGGGATCTCTGAAAGACAGCAACCGACAACATCTGATGTGTTATAACAAGACAAACGCAATGAGTTCTGCTGTGATTTCACAACATCTGCCCAAATCAGTGGCGTTCACAGTTGAAGCACCACACCCGTCAGTAAACATTAAACAGCCATTACATGTGCCACAGATTACTGATCACTCAAAGACAAATCAAACACTATGAAAGGGACAGACGGTTATCAATTTAACCATCTTTACAAGCTAAAGAAAGCAAGCGGTATAATAACAGTGCACTTTCCTGAGCTACAGATCAACTAGCTTTACCTGTCTCCTAGAAAAACCAGTTTCGCCCAGCACCTTTATTTCCTTTAACCTAGAACCAATAGGAAAACCAACCAGATGATCCTGCTCCACATCTACAATACACAACCCTTCATTTAGGCCATTTAGCTAACTAGACTAATACTGTAGTTCACATGGACTTGAGATTCCTCATTATGTCATCGGTCAAACCGGTTGGAGTTCTCTGATTCCTCGATGAACAATCGGAGAGTGTTTTGAGCAAGATTGGTTTCATCGCTTGTCGCTGCTGACGTTTCAGGCCCGGTCACAGACGTCAGAGCTAACAAACATCCAGGAGAGGTTTGTTTTATTGGGATGGTAATCTGTTCAAACCAGCTAAAAGCCATTATTTCAGAAAATAAGGTCATAGTAGAGTTACTATGATCTGACTGCATTCACCTTCATGGTATAACTATGAAGCTTTGTGTTGCTATGGAGACCTGTTGCTCAAAATGTTCTTTTAATACATGCTCACCTGAGTCTTCAGTGTCTACCTCAAGAGACTTGCAGTTAAACATAATATCTGTTAATGTTTCTAAACATATTGTATATGTTTAAATAAAATGCTAAAGAAAAACAGAGAGAAATAGCTGAAACTTTCCGTTTTTCTGGTTTCTATCTTGACTCAAGTGTCAACCAATTATGAAGATAATAATTATGTCAACACATCTTAATAATTGAGTACTTTTAGACTATTTAGAACATATACTAAAAAAATAAAAAAAAACATATTTACGTACTAAGAGGTGATTGGCGTAAAAGGTAAACGGAAACGTAAAAAAGGCAGAACTTTTTTGCGTTGTTGCAGTTTTTAACACTAAACCAATATTAATAATGCATATTGTGAACTGCAGATCACAGGGCACACCAAATCGTGGGTGGACAACGGGATGATTCGTTTTTTGTTTTTTTCCGAGAACCATTGCACCCCTAATACACAGTGCTTCCCACAGGTTTGAAATATAATTGTGGTGGTAGCCGGATTGAAAAACACCTTTTACTCACAGCACATGGTTACCTACATGCAACAACAATAAACAAGAGATTTTTAACAATATTTTTTATGATACACTGCTTCTTTTAAATGGATTGAAGTTGTTGTTTTTTTTTTTTTATATTGTTGAAATACATAAATAAATCCACTATTGGTTTTACTTTTATTCTACTCAGGAGCCATGTGCACCCACTGATAGTTAAAATCTGCTGCTGACATTTTTTACAGTATTGCCAAAGCATGTTAGACATGTATAAAATATGTAATATACCAACATTAAATAAAATATAGATATATATAAATGATAAATAAATGACAGAAAGGAAATCTAAAAAGAATAATAATTACAAGAAAAAAATCATTTTAACCTCATTTAAATAAGGCAATTGACTTGAATAATCATTTCTACCAGTGTACAAAAATTTTGCAGCCAGAATAGATGTAATTTCGTCCTCTCAGAGTAAATAGAAAAGTTTATTCGAGTCATTTAGATCAAATAATGAATTATAATGTTTCGCTCAGTGTTGTGGCTGTGTACAGCTATGAAGCCAATCGAAAGTAAATCAGGCTTGAAATAAAAAAAGACGATGGCTTAGAAAATGAAACCAAAAGCTGAATCCTGCACATTTTAGAAGAATTAGAAACACTGGACGGATGCATTTCAAAAAGTCTCAAAAAGGCGCGTTTATGTGAGCCTCTGCAGAGCACATGAGATTGTCTGTGGGAGTGTAATAGGATAATATTTAGGGATGCTCAAAATAATCGATTAACCGTTAACCGAAAGGGTGCGTTTATGACCGATTAATGCTATCAGTTAAACGATTAAAATTATTATTTTATATATTTTTAGTTTGGCTGCATATCGGGCCGATTGAATGCGCCTTTGCATTAAGAGGGGCATCTTTTGCACGCGGCTCATCCCAGAGCAGCAGTTTGTGTTGTCAAGACAGCTACAGAGAACTTTTAAGGAGCTTGGTTTCCGCTACATTCATTCTTCCATGGCGGGAACCAAAATGCATCCCGCCACGGCTACATTACCCATTCAGTTATTGTTGTTGTTGTTGTTTTTAATAGCGGATTATAATCGCACCAAAACGTATTAAAAGGTAAGTGGATTATAACAGCGCAAACTTTTTTGTAACCGTATAGTGCTGTGCGCTATTGTTTAATCAGTACGTGCTGACTGACTGACTGACTGACAGGTGCGCGATGCTTGAGGTCAGCAAACACGCAGAAGCTTTCAGTTAAGATGAACACAGTTTCTATAGTTATTCTTTATTTATAGATAAAGTATGACTCTGCATATAATCACTCTATCATGCTGGAGTTTATAGCCGTTTCGCCATTTGCCAAAGAAGCTAAATGGAAGAAGAATATTGCTTGAAACAGACGTGTTGATGCCAAAAAAAGCGCTGATGTTGACCTGGATCTGCATCATAAACGCAACAAATAGGCTTCACCTTTTATTTTACAGCTTATAAAGCATGTATGCACATTAATGCAATATCATATTTAAACAACAAAACTGTTTACAAAACGTCAACATATGCGCGCGTGTTGTTGTCTTTTCATCACGCAGCGCGCGCACTTGAACCACGAGGGAGAGAAAGGAAACCACGTCAAGACATAATCTTTAAAATAATGATTTCTATTAAAAATGTAAAAAGGTTTTGTGATTATAATAATACAAGCGGGGCATTAAATAAATGCATATTTTCCGTGGAGCGAGCGATTTGAAGAAGTCTGCTATTTTATTTGACGACAGCCTGTGCCGGTTTTTAAACATAATCAGTCAGTGTTTTCGATTTGTAATATAAATTAATTATTTAAGTGGAAAATAATTTAGGGCAGTCCTATTTATTTTATTCATTTTATTTAGTTTATTCTGTTCTTCTGTGCTAAACACTGCAGGTGTGTGAAAATGCTCTGTTGTATTGTTCTATTATTAATATGCTAGCATATAAAAATAAATCAGTATTTTATGCAATATTTAATGTGTCAGACACAAAATAGACACGTCAATTTGTTTTATATAAAATTAATAGTAATCTGACCAGTTAACCGTTAATAACCGATTAATGAGCGGCGGTTGTCGGTTAGCAAAATTAACCGAAATGAGCATCCCTAATAATAATAATAAACAAATAAATGTCACCAAATATACCCGAGCGGCCTGCCCAAGTACTCTATGTGTGGGAAGCACTGTATACATACACACGCAGTTACTATTTTATGTCTAATGCATGATGCATGTAACTGAATTGTTATGCGCATGTAGACATATGTAAATGAACGGTGCTACTACGGCAGCAAATAGTGACTAATTCCATAAGCATTTGAAAAGTACTACAGTACAAACATATATACAAATATATAATAACACAATAATAACACATTGGAGAAAACTTGCAACCCAGGCACGCTCGTGTCTGGATGCACAAGTATCGCTTTAACAGCCAAGAGAAGAAGAAAAGTTACCTTAGGAATATGCCAACAGGTCAAATGTCCAAAGTGAGAGATAGAGAGGCAGAGATGGAGTTTACAGCATTTCTCCCAAGTAGTGAAATAGAGGCTTGTGTGCTGTGCCTTCAACAAGTGTCAATGAAAGACTTTTCAGCAAACTCACAAGCAGTTGAACTGTGCATAATTATCTACCTTTTAAGAAGTTGGAGCGTTTTATTTACTCCCCTCTCCTCCTTCGCTACAGTATTGTACTGCGACATCGCGCATAAGAGATAAATGACGTCAGTATGTAATAACCGGTTATGATCTATTACTG